TTTTTCTTGGCCCCCCCCCCCCCTCCCCACCGTGCGCCGCCGGCAGACGATTTCGAAGCACGTGGGCGAGGAAAACCTCAAGAAGATCATCAACTGGGTCTTGAAGTACCTGTCCGGCATCGACATACCTGTGAAGAGGTGAGAAATAATGCAGACATGAGGCAGGGTTTTCAGTGTGCGAGCGATGAGTTTTTTTTTGTCTGTTCCATAAACGCTCGGACAAATGTTTTCGCGACACAGGGGAGGGGAGACGCGACTGTGAAATATTGGCTAGAGTGGGACGTCGCGCCCTGGGACGCGACCTTTTCACCCGTGATAAAGGTCGTTTTTGCCGATTTTGGGAGACGCGCGCGTGCTCCTTTTGTCTGCCGCACTCCATGGCTTGGCCTCTCTCAAATTCATGTTGAGCTTTATCTTTTTGGTTTATTCTCCCCTTCTCCTCTCATTGGTGTTCGTTCCCCTCGCCTTCACTCGTCCTTATATTCTTGTGAAATATTCATCGCGACGATGACGACGAAAATACAGGGGCACCTTCATCGAGTTCCGGACCGGCATGCTCAACATCTCCCCGGTGGGCAGGAACTGCAGCCAGGAGGAGCGGGACGCGTTTGAGCAGTACGATAACGTGAGACCCTGCCGCACCACGGCGCCCCTGTTTTCTTCGTCCTTATGTACGAATTGTAGTGTGGGCGTGTAGTTCAGTTGTGAGCACGCAATCGTGCTACAGGGATTGCAGGTGTACCTCCTCGGGCTTGCGTACCCTTTTCTTGCTAATTGTGTGTGTTCTTTAGATCTTCTGATGGCTCTAGCATTTTTGTGACCACGCACCAAGTCTTGGCTACATTTTGGGATTAGCAACTGACACGAGTTTAATGTGAAGAAAAACAACAACTCTGATAATACAGTCCCTCGCTTTTTGTTTCTGGCGTGTGTACTTCCGCGTACAGAGTACGGCACTTTTTTTGACTCTCACGCAATAATACTCTAATATTTCATCGCATTATACTTTGACGGAAACTTAAGATACCAATGAAGTTTGTGCACAGGGACCTTTGACCAATACCATCATTGTAGCCAATTCGCGTGGTCGATTTGGGGGGTTGATTTCACAGCAGTAGCTGGTGTTAAACTTGTCTGCGCGCTCGCTTGTGGGCGCACGCACGTGCATTAATTTTTTCAGGAGCACAAGATTCGGCAGACGATGGTAGATGCCATGAGGGCGGAATTCGCGGACCTGAACCTGACCTTCTCGATCGGTGGACAGATCTCGTTCGATCTCTTCCCTACGGTACGTGCTGCTGGAGCAGCTAAAAGTGCCGGTGCCATTTGTTGTTGTTGTAATTGTTGTCTTTGCCAGTGTTTTCGTTGATGCAGCTGGTCGTCGCCGTTGCCATCGTTGTCGTTGTTGGTTAGGACGGATCTTGATGGTGTTGTTGTTGTTGTTGTTGTTGTTGTTGCTGTAGCTGGTGCTGTTGCTGCTGCTGCTGCTGCTTCCTTTGTTACTGTTGGTTGATGCAGCTGGCGGCGTTGGTGATGACGGTGATCTTGAGTTTGTCGACCATTCCATGGCTCTACCTGCAATCAGTCCCCCTCGGTAGTACTCCCCCCGGATACCCACCGCCATTCAATCCCAGGAGAACAATACGCATCGTATCTTTCTCTGTTGCCCCCTCGCCACCTCTATGCGCCATGTTTCTGCGGTGTGGGTTACGTGCACGCGCGCGCTACCTGAGTGTTGGTCCCTTCTTTTTCCGTACCTTCCGTGATTGTGTCGTATTTTGACTTGGAAGTACACATCACTGACTCTTTTCTTTTGAGCAATTCAACGTGTGGGTGTCTAGAATTTCACCCTCCCCACAGCAAGCCGCCCCGTTTCGGGATGGTTTTCACTTGTCCGTTTAGTCCTTCTCGTAAGGCCGATGCTTCACCCCTCCTCTACTCTACTCCCCTTCCTCCCTTTTGTCTTCCTGCGGAAACCTTACTGCCCTTTCGCCTTGCGAAACACGAAGGGATGGGACAAGACATTCTGCTTGCAGTTCTTGGGCGAGGGCACGAGCGAGTACGATGAGATCCACTTCTTCGGGGACAAGACTTTCCCGGTGCGCATACCGAAACGGAGTTTGATCGGCTGATTGGCGACTTGCGCACACGGCTGATGATAGTGTGGAAGCTACGTACACAGTTGCGTGATCCTGGGGGGTGCGGCTGATGTTTTGGCTGACTGGTGACGTTCCGTTGCTGGCGCTGCAGCGAAGGACGTTGTTTTTGTTCATCCCCGAGAGCGCGTGGTTGGTGTAAGTGTGGCAACGCTGTCTGAAAGCATCAGGAACGGCCACACCACGCCGATCGCACCACATCCCGTCCGCTCTGTGAAGTTAAGCGGCGTCGGGGATTGTTGTCCACACGTGTGGTACTGCGGCTGAGTGTAGTTTGTACATATCCCGTCTCTCGTTGTTTTGTCGGAGCGCCGGAGGTTAGGCTCGTCTTCCGCCTTTTTTATCCTTGTTCTATCAGGGCGCACCCCCTGGCCTAGCTGTTTGTTGCTGCCGCCACCGCGCACAGGCATGCTTGCTCGTCGTACAACCCACCGTTATGTTAAGTTCCACAACGACTTTGTAGCCGTTGCATGCACCGAACCTAGCGAACAAAAAAAGAACGTTGTAGCCCTCTTGGTCTTGTGTTGATTTTTCTCTTGTTGCTCCTGCCTTCGCTGCCGCTGCCTGCCGCCTGCCTCTCTCTTGTTGTCCTCTCCCGGGATGTCCTCTCTTTTAACCGCGCTCGGGGATGATTTTCTGTACATAGGGCGGGAACGACTTCGAGATCTTCGAGTCCCCGCGGACGATCGGGCACACGGTCACCTCCCCCGAGGACACGATGAAGCAGTGCAAGGAGCTCTTCTTGAAGTCGGCCTAACTAGACTCAACCCACCAGTTATGCCACACTGCCTGCTACATAAATAGCTGCAAAAATTTGGGCCAGAGCTCGTGCAATAATCTGGATCGAGTCGAAGCAGAGCAAAGTGAAGATATGGAGTGAGCTTGTGAAATGCAGAGGTTCACTTGAAACTCTCAAGCCGAGCGGGGGCCAGGCGCATGCTTCGAGGCGGGGGAGAGGGGGGAGCGGGGGTTGTGTTCCCCGCCCCGCCCTTTGGCGCAACTTGTCATTATTTCTGGGCGTGTTTTTGATGAGGGGTCTTGTTTGGGTAGGGCCCCTGCTTATCCGGTGGTTGTGGCGCAGTGCACGCGGAACTATTATTGTTGAGGTTTCTAGTCGGCGGTATAGTATTCCGCACTCGGTGGTATGGTATTCCGCACTGCTGTAAACTCCTCCTGTAAGATAATGTTGCGTCGAATCTCCACTTCATTCAGCGTCCGTCAAAAATTGTTGTCACCGGGGATATGGTATCTTTCGTCACAACGTTGCTGCTGCTGCGGCGGCGGCGTCGTCACCCGTTTGACACGCAGGGGATTGTTGCACATCGAGTAGCAGCCGCAGCTTATTCGATTGTGGTTGCCTTCAACGTATCGCATTCATCCCTCTTGACAAGTTCTTCTTGTGTGTCATCAGAGCACCGGCGACCCCTCGGGGTTGCCTACCTAACTAATAGTGTGGGTGGTAATGGCGTTAGTCCTGCGGTGGTGCTTGAGCACGATTTGCTTGCCGCGGTGAGAAAGATGGTCGGAGGGCTGATATAGTCTACGGTGGATGGTGTGCTGTCGGAGTTGCACCGCATGTATGTTGTTGGAGCAGCCACCGGGTGCAGCAGCGTGTGATTTTCGAGTTTGGTTGTGCTGCATAGGTCGTTACCGTAATTTATGCACAGGGCGGAGAGAAAACTTGAAGGAGGGAGACAGCAACAACCTGCATCTACCTGTCTGTCTGGGTGGTCGAACGTGTCCCGGGCAGCCCCAGAAGAGAAAATACGACTAGGAGTCCCATTGCACCCAACTATCCCCGCACTGCATCGGCGAGTCTCGGGAAGATACGCCAGAGGAAACGAGCAGTATCTTCTGCGGAAAATGGGGTACATACCCCGCTTATTTTTTATTTTCTTCCTTCCGTGCAGTAGTACGCCCGTCACACCCATTGCCCGTCCACCACCACCCTTCTCACAAAACAAGGCTCTTGGACTCTCTCGGTCGGACTGCTGTAGCAGCATGCCTACCTCCGTGCCCCGCTCGAGACACGCTACCAACGAACGGCACGTGAGTTGGAACGCACGGATATGGCACGGGTCTATTTCGCCCTCCCCCGTCCTTTCTTTCACTGTTTTTCTTACGGTCACTAATGTTGCCATGGTACAACGTGGAGACTACATGAATACCGTATATGACACAAGATAACACACCCCCTTGACCAATTTTCGGAGCTCGATTTTTCAACTGCAGGAACAGTCACAGCGCCGAAAACGGCGGCGTTGAAACCGTCTCGTCGAGAGCTTTTCGAAAATGCATCGTTTCGTTTATGCATTTTCGTCGTGGAGAAATCGAGCTTTGAAAATCGGTCCAGGGGGTGTGTTATCTTGTGTCATATATGGTAGTCTAGACTAGTGCGTGTCATCAAAAGATAAAATCGTTCTTCCTGTCATCCGGGGGAAGAAGAAGGCGGACTACGCTACGTACCAAGACGAGAAGGGGCGCAGCGTGTTCGTCACGGTGGCATCCTGCGGATACGGTTGATTGTTGAGTGGCGCCGGCCCGGACAATGAACCTAGCTAGGTGTGTGTATGACGAACGGGCTCAGGCATATGGGTAACATGAGGCAAGATGAACTGGTACGCTTTCTCGTTCTTCGCCCCCACAGCGTGCGGATAGATAGACTATAATAGATAGCCGCAGCGTGCGGACAGATAGAAAAACATACATTATCTAGACTGCATGGTTGCACAGTCCGCAAGCAAAGCACCCTTAGTTTGTCGCTGGCGACCCCAAACATTTCTACAGAAGGGCGAATTCCTCGATTGCTGTTTGTTGCACTTTATTATACAAGATCATTTCCAGGCTCCTAACAACATTGATGGGTGAGAGAAGAACAAAATAGTTACATCTAAATCTACATAATATATGGTATATCTCCTACGAGTAATCCAAGCGCCCAGAAGACAGCTGGTGGTCCGGAGCATAAATCTGCCTGATGTTTGCAGTAGTGCTTCGCGGTGTACACAAAATCTTTGCACGCAAGTGTTGCGTGTATGTACACACACACGCTTTGTGTGCATCTGACAAAAAACAGGATGTCAATACAACGTTCAAGATGATAATTGATGTAGCACGTTCAAGATGATACTCAAGTCGAAAGAACTGCATGCATGCATTGGAGGAGTGAGTCATCAAATAAGTTGGCACCCGCTCGTTTCTATTCTTGTAAAATATTCTTTCCCGGCGGACTACCCGGCGCAACTCCATATACCGGAAACACAAACAACGCTACATTACTTGATTCATGTCGCACCCGGACCATCAGATCGAGGCAGGACTCACCGTGTTAAACGTGGTGATGCCGTCAATCCTAACTTTGGGCGCGGCAACTCTCAGCATTTCCAACAGATGGGCGAAGTTCGTCCGCACATACCTACATCAAGAGGGAGAAGATCGACGACTATCCCTGGGACTTCCCGCCTACTACCAAAAAAGCGCAAGGCAGCCTCCAAGAAACCTATACGCTGACCCTAGAGCAATAATTTACTTCTACTCCGCCGACAGCGGCAGCGCTGAGTCAGCCGCTTCTTCTATCTAGAGTGTGTCTAGTGATGACAACAACGACGACGACGATTGCGACGGAGACCACGACGATAATGATGAACACGACGACGAAGCCTCTTCTTCTGACTCTTCTGACTCGGACGAAGAACGAACGCGAACAAGACGGC